CAGCCCCTTCCTCCTCCTCCCCGTTCCTCTAGACATCCAAATGACAGGAGGATGTACATAGTTGTTGATGGGGGTGGAGCAGGGTTGTCGTGTGGAAGGGAGGGAGAGGGAGAAGGAGCACGGGGTGCAGTGTCAATCTCAATTTGTGCCCCTTCTAACCCCATTCCCCCTGCGAAGCGCCATCCGAACCCACCACACATGCTCGGGGCTATTCCCTGAATTCGGGCGGGTAGTCTAGCGTAGATCTTTGACCCGCCGGAAGTGCTACGTTACGCTACGCCAGAGGACACTTAGGCTAGGAATTAGGCTTATAGGCTTGGGCTTGGGCTTAGGGCTTCGTGTTAGGGGGCTTGGCTTAGGCTTAGGCTTGGGCCTCAGCTTCGGGCTAGGCTTAGGCTTAAGCTTAGGCTTCTGAGACTTCGGCTTGGGCTTAGGCCTTTGTGGGCTTAGGCTTAGGGCTACGCTTAGGCTCAGGCCTAGCCTTGGGCATAGGTTTAGGCTTAGGCTAGGCACGTGCTTAGGCTTAGGCTTCCGCTTAGCTTGTGCTTAGGCTTAGGCTTAGCTTGTGCTCAGGCTTAGGCTTGGCTTGTGCTTAGGTTAGGCTTAGGCTTAGGTTTATGGGGGCTTAGGCTTAGACTACCAGTATGACTACGCAACGCTCCACTGCCCTCAAGATCAACCCCGAAGTGTAATTATACTCTAACCCATTGTCAACACTGCCGTTCCTGAAATAAGACTCAAATCTAGAACCAATCTGCATTAGGGCCGGCATATTCAGCGTGTTCATCCAAGGACAATGCGAACACGGACCAAGACAATCGACGACCCGGTCGAGCCGTCGCTAATGCGATAATTTGCCCCCCCGGAGGCGATAACCTCGTGTGGCTTCCGATTTGGGCACTCGGCCCAGCTGATGTATATCTCCACTTGGGGTGTTGCGGCTGTCAAGGTTGTGATAATTGGGATGGGAAGGTGACAGATATGACACAACGGGTATTCATCGGCGATTAATGGACTAATCTATTGTCTAGGAAAATAAAAAAACTGTCAAAAATTCGGCTTGGCTTAGTTAGGCATAAGCTTAGTTTAGGCTTATGTATAGGCTCAGGCCTGGGGATAGGCTTAGGCTTAGCTTCGCTTAGGCTTCGGCTTCGGCTTGGGCAAAGCTATAGGCTTAGGTATAGGCTTAGGCCTAGCGCAGGCTTAGCTTAGGCTTACTTAGTATTAGGTTTATTAGGCTTCGGTTTAGGCTTACTTAGACTTAGGCTTACGCTTTGGCTTAAGCTCAGGCGTAAACTTACTCCTGCTTACCTACGCTTCGGCTTAGACTTGGGCTAGGCTTCGACCTAGACTTCTACCTAAACCTTGCGACTCCTCAAATATCGTCTTTGATCATCTACTTCCTGCAGAGCTGCTGCTCCTACTCCTAATGGACTTCCTGATAAACACAAGCCCCTCTTCCGCTTGACCGACCTTCAGCTTCTCCGCGTTGTTGCCGTCTTCCGGTGCCATGAAATCGGAGAATCACCACCCAAAGCTTGGTTGGCCCCGGCCCGGGGCTAAGCTGCAAATTTCGGTGTCCCCCAGCCAGGGCCCGGGCCCAAATCCCCCGAAGAATCAGCTGTGCCAGATTATTGGGGAGGGGGTGGGGGGCTGAACAAGGCAAAGCCAGCTTAGCCAACCGCCCCGATCCGCCTGCCAATTTCCAAAAAGGATCCCGAGGCTCTGAGCGCGAAAAAAAACAGGCTCCCAATATTTCCGGAGGACAGGGAGCGAGAATGAATTTTGGAAAATGGATGGGGAGCGATAGAATTCTGGAAATATTGGGTTTTGGAAAACTTAAAAAATGCTTGGGCATAACTAGGTTTAGGCTTAGGCTTAGCTTCAGGCTTAGACCTAGGCTTAGGCTGAGGTTTAGGCTTAAGCTAACCCAGGCGTGGGCTTAGGCTTCTGCTTGCTTAGGCTTGGACTTAGGCCTAAATTCGGGCTTGGCTTGGGTTTGGTCATAGGCATCGGAGAGGCTTAGGCTTGGGCTTTTAGGCTTAGGTTTAGGCTTAAGCATGGGCTTGGGCTTACTTTAAGCCTCGCTTATGCCAAATTTTTCCCCTGATTTCGAATAAGTCTTTAAAAATTCGCCGTTTCACGGCTAATCCATTCATATATTTCCTACAGTTTAAGCCTAGACCAATGAAAAACCCCTAAAAAACAACAACCTGGCTCAGACTTCGATTCCGTAGCTGCAGCCGCCAACATTCCGGTCCGGGCCGCCGGGCCAGTCCGCACAGAGTTGTGTCCCGTAGCGCCCGGTCGCATATGCCCAAAGACCGGAAACTATGTCCAAATCCAGCGTCACCAAGGGCCACTAATGCCCTGCGGCAAATTTACAGCGCGCCGCGAGTTAGTGGAAAAATGACGCCTCCACGGATATTTATCGAGGCTTCGGGTGGCTTGCGAGGAGCGAGAAACCGACTAGGGCCATTTTTGAAAATACGAAAATATGATTTTGCGGTTGGGACAGGGGTAAAATACGAATTACAACTATTTTGAAACTGACAAAAACCATTTTGGGCTTGAGACAGTCGAAAAAAAGAATTTTGACGCTTGGGACAGACCAAAACGGAACCAGATACCAATTCACCGCAAAAAGAATCAAGATTTGGCCTAAGAAAAGTTAAAAATGAGCAGCGGTCATATCGATCAACGAGCAGAAAAACTTTTTTTGTGTTTGGCACAACCCAAAATTGTACCAAATACCATTCACAAAAGTGAAACAATGATTTCCGGACCTCAAGACCCCATTACAGATGTTTTAAACACTCACGAAATTGCCTTTTTGGCAGAAACTCTTCTTTTGAAATCAAAACCCTCACCCCCAATCCCGAGCGCCGCCACAAATTCGCCGAAAAACGTGTCCGGCCCCTCGAATCGGCAAATCTAAAGGGGGAAGAGCTGATGAAGCTTGAAAACTTACAAGCTCAATGCGCAGCCCGACTTCGTCGATAAGCAGCCCGAGCTTCTCGCAGATGCATAGCATTCCTAAAATGCGCCTAAACTGGGGGGTGTCGGGAAGGAGAACCCTATCTTAAATAACCTCAATTAGCTACTAAACGTTAGATTTCACGATTTTGTATCTATTTTCTATTGGTGCGCCAATTTCCTGGAATGATTTTTCAAACCTTGTTGATTTTTGTGACTTCTGTGTTAATCTGGTTGCGTAACGCCAATCGCGAGATTAGCTTGAGTACAATGGCAAGGTAAACACCGCAAGTGTTCGCGGGTCAATTGCGCGCATAAGTAGCTACTTTGGCCAGGCGTTAAGACATAAGTTACGCGAAAAGTTATAACTATAGCTATAACTTTGAATTAATTAAACGAAGCCTTTTCCCAGAATCAAAAGGCGCCCCATTGCATATTATAAATTGTCCAAACCTGGTTTTAAAACTATACATTTCTTGGTCCTGGACTGCTAGCAGGGGGGACTTAACGTTTGTTTTTCCGCCCATACCTAATTTTCAATAATAATGAGCGTATTGCTATCATGTTTTTAGTAATTTTTTTATTGGTGGCAGTTACAAAAAAAAATATTTTAAAAGTTTTTATAATTTTTGACGAGCTCTTTATATCTAAAAACTGTGCAAAATGCTACAAACAATGGTTTATATTTTTCTATCACGTCGCACAGGATTACTGGGAAAAATTACCCCCCCCCCGCTAATAGCCCTGTACCCATTTAACTAATAGCTAGCCTGAATCTAAGCCCGAGCTTACAAAGTTTCGTTAAAAACTAAAAAACGCTAAAAACCCAGGAAATTAGCGAAACTAGCAGTTTTTTAGGAAATTAGCGGAGCTTCTCGTCATTAGCAAAAGCCAATAAAAATAAACCTATAAAAATAGCCTCACCGGATGGGTGGTTGTATATGAGTCAGGGTGCCGAGCAGGGACAGCCGTTTGTGCCCGGAGCGCCCAGATTTCTGGGATTGTTTTCCTATTCGTTTTCGACAACAAATTGCGGCGATTTGCCCGGCTAGAGGGCACATTCTCGGGGCAATGAGATTCCCATGGTTCCGGTCGTGATCTTGGCGGAACATCGGCGGATAACGATAAAAATGGTTGCCGTGGGGCTGGAGACAAAATATCTGCACGAGTTTCCCATGGGGGTCATCGGTATTCGACATGCCAATCGCTGTCGGCACCATCCAAAGGGATCATATTCAAACGGGGGTACCGCACGCGGGGGGATAAGCCGGAAACTATAGGGAAACGTATGCAGGAAAAACGGTACTAGCCTGTTATCGGGGGTGGGAGGGGGCAAACCAATTTTTGTTATTTTCCGCCTATACTTTCCTGTTGGGAATATAAGCTGTATTTTTATAGTGTTTTTAGTAGTTTTCGATTGCTAGAAAGTTATAAAAGCTAATTTTGAAAATTCGGAAATACTGATTTTTTGGGCCATTTTTCATACAAAGTTTCGACATTTTTATGAGCTTTTTAGATCTAAATAAACACTGTGTAAAATGCTCTAAAAATGTGTAAGCCTTACGGCAACGCTCGGAAAATTGGTCCCCCCCCCCGTTAACAATCCAGTCCCGACTCAGAATGCTTGATCGCGTGTTTTGATTACTAAAAAATTAAAAGTAAATTAAAAATCAAAAACTAATTTTATAAAGCTTTTCTTTTGATCTAAAAGCGCGTAAAAGGTTTCAACAGGGACGCCTACGGTAACATAGAAAAAAGGTTGCCCACCCGCTAAGAAACCAGCCCCGGATCGTTTCGCCAAACTTGCTGCTTCTCGAAGAGCAGCGTGTCCATTTCTAAATCCAATGTTTTTAATGTATCACTGTGGAACTTGTATTAACGTGGCTTCATCAAATTCCATAAAAAAATTTATACCCTTCACTGGGTGAGGCACAACGTGAAAACATAACAACGCGAAACATCAACACAAAAAGTATAATAAAAACGTATAAAAATGGATATGCAAGCATCGGGGGTTTCGTTTAAAGATCTTGATCGCGTCCGAGCAGCAGCGTCAGGACGGCCATCCGGACGAACATGCCGTTGCGGGCTTGCCGGAAGTAGGCGGCGCGGTCATCGTGGTCGAGTTCGGGCGAAATCTCGTCGACACGCGGCAGCGGATGCATCACGATCGGCTTGGCGCTTTGTTGGCCTGTAAAGGATTTGTAATCACCACTCAAAAATTGCCGAAAGAGACGCAGCAAAATCATGCCCGAAAACCCACCGAGCACATTGTAATCCGTCGTCTCGTTTTCCTGGGTCGATTCGTCAAGGAGCTTTGGCGTCAAAACGAAGGCTCCCTTGACGCGCTCGTACTCGGCCTGGTCGCTGAATCGTTCCTAAAATGGTGGAGTTATATTCGGTTAAAAATTCCATTAAATTCGATGCCCTCTCTAGATATAACGTTTCCAAAATTTCGCAAAATATACCCGCCTTGATCAAAAATTGAAAAAAGCTTAATTTTAGCAAATTTGGAATTTTTAGATTTTTTATAATTTTATTTAGATAAGCAAGAATTTTTTAGAAATTAGAAACAAAAATTTAATTTAAAAAATTTAAAAAAATTGTGATAGATTTCAGTAGTCGAAAACTATTAAAAACACCCTACACTTTTTTTATCAAAAATCGACCAGGTAAAATTAGCTTTAGATCTCTACAAAATGCGAAACACTATTTTCACCATAACCAACCTTCTGAACGCGAGTCATGTAGACGACGTCGACGCCCTTGATGCCCTCCGCCAGGTCGGTGAATTTTTTCTAAAAATATCATTAAGTTGTGTTATAAAAAGCACCAAACCTGGACAAAAGCGGGCCGCGTCTCCCCGGGGCGATCGCCCATCTGGCTGTGCTTGTGGACGTAGCCGCAGACCGATTCGGGCATTCCGAGCTCTTCCACCGGGGACACGTAATGGAGCGTGATTTTCTAAAAATAAAAATTAGAAAGATTGATCTGATAATTCTTACGTTGTAGCGCGTGAGGAGCTTGGCAAGCGAGTGGACGGTGCGGCCGTTCTTCAGATCGCCGACGAGCGCGATTGTGAGCCCGTTGATGGAGGAAAGCTCTTGCCGAATGGTGAACACATCGAGCAGGGCTTGTGTTGGGTGCTCGCCAGCGCCATCTCCAGCATTCACCACCGGTTGCGTGCAGACGGCGGCGGCGCGTTGGGCGGAACCGATCTGGAAAAATGGAAGTCATGTAAAAATTAATAAAAAACGTTATGTTTGAAATTTTTGAAAAACCAACCTCTGGGTGCCGGATGACAACAATGTCCGCGTAGTTGCCCATAATTTGAACGGAATCTTCGAGGGTTTCGCCCTTTTGCACGGAAGACGTCTGCGAATCCATCGAGATCACGGTGCCGCCGAGTCGCTGCATGGCCGCGCTGAACGAGCACGAGGTCCGGGTGGACACCTCGTAGAACAGCGACGACATCACGTAGCCTTGAAGGACGTGTGTGATGGATTGGTAGCGCTCCACGTCCGAGCGGAAATGCTCGGCCAGCTCGAGGATGCGGTTGATCAGCGGCTTGTCGAGGTGTTCGACGGAGATTAGGTTCTGTCCGGCCCACGCGAGTTTTGCCGGGGAAAGCCGGAGCGGGGTCTCCAGGGGAGAGTCCTGAAATTTACCATTATCATAGCATTTACCATAGTTTTTAGATACAAAAAAGTTCACACAAAATATTTTTGGTCGAAAATGTATGAAAATGATAAAAAAAGGTCAAGTCTTACGAATTTTAAATTTTTTATAACTTTCTAGCACTATTTAGGTTCAGGTGGAGAAGCGAAAAGTGGTTTCCCAACCTGCAAACCCCCCGCTAACAGTCCAGTACCGCAAAAGCTCGTTTGTTGCGAAAAATTAGAATTTCAAAACTCGCAGACCTCAGAAGAAAGCGTCTCGGCTGGAAGTCGTCCTTCAGCGGCAGCCTCTTCAAGCTCACGTCTAATGACATCTTCATCCTCGGCGCCAAAATCGCTGGCCAGCCGCACATTCCGGCCGCTGCCCTTCTTGGCCACGATATTCCCGTCGACGAGAGCCTCCTAAATAGGAATTTCCGGAAAAATAAATATCTCCAACCTCTCCGTGAATTACGACGTTGACGACTTTTCCACGTACAGCACGACCGGCATACGGTGTCCAACCGGCCTTCGATTGCCCGCCATTTTCCGGGATTGTCCATTCGACGCCGAGATCAACCTGCACAGGCGAGAATTTGCGGAAATCTATACTAAAACCACCTCGATGTAGGTATCCTTCTGCTCGGGCAGTCCAAAGATGCGCCGTGGGTTGTGGTGAAGCCGGTCGACGAGCTGTGCCAATGTGAGTCGACCCTCGTGAACGAAGGTGAGCAGCAGCGGGAGCATGTATTCGACTCCAGGGAAGCCGGGCGGTACTTTTTCAGCTCCGTGCTTCTCCTCCCGGGTGTGAGGCGCTGAAAAAACGGTTTTTTAAGCGCTGTGTGTTTCAAGAAGCAAAACAAAATTCCAGAAATGCCTGATAGCTTGCTAATCCTATTTCAACCATCTTAATAATTTTCAATAAAATTTTTGGTAAAATCTAATTATATTTTAGGTAGAAACACAAAAATGTTTTTAGTGGATATTTGTGGTCGAAAATTGATAATCGCATTTTTTGTATATTTTAATTAAAGTAAAAAGGTTCACGCTAAGGGATAGTAAAAACACTTCCGATTTGATATTATAAAAACGGATCCCAATGAAAAAAGTTGGCCGCCCCGGTATTACGAAAGAACCAAAATTCGTACCATGATCGGTGGCGAAGCAGTCAATGTAGTCGAGGTTGTCCCAGAGGGCTTGAACGTCAGCCTCTTGCACGAGTCGGGGGCGCACCTCGCGGACGCCGCAGGGTAGGCAGCCCTCGGTGAGGATGAGGTGGTGGGGGCACACCTCGCATGTCACAGCCCATCCCTAAAAATGGTAATTTATCGAAACGAAACCGAATTTCTTACCTTTTGCTTGGCCTCGCGGACCAGGGTCATCTCTTCAGCGGTGGCCAGGTGACAGATGTGGACGGCGCGGCCGGCCAATTGGGCACACATCAGCACGGCGGCCAAGGTTTGGCCCTCGGCGTGGCAGACGACAGGTCGAGTCGTCGGGAAAGAGCGTAGGTGCTGAAAAAGAATTTTTAAAACTTAAAACCAGTAATCGTAATAAAATATTTTCGTTCTAAAGCCCCACCTGCATCCAGTGGGCCATATTGTCCATCTTCAACGTCGAGAAGGTGTCGTTCAAGTACATCTTGAGTCCGGCGGCCCTAGAAATGGGGATAGGCTCCAAGAATACAATACTCACTTTTGCGCCAGCGACGCAGCAACTGTAGCGTTTGTCGCGGTGGCCCCAACGTACAGCGCGTAATCGACGAGCGCCTTCTCGCTGGCCAACTAAAAACCCTTAACATCACTCAACAAAAAATAACAAACCTTGTCGGTGAGCTCGTAAGAGGCATTGTCGGTGAGGGCCGGGTTCGTGTTGGGCATCGCGAGAATCATCGTCACACCACCGGCGAGTGCGGCGCGTGTACAGCTCTCCCAGTCTTCCTAAAAAAAAATCGTGTTTAAGAACTTTTTAAAACCAGCTTTTCAATGCATTAAATTAATGAATTAACGCTCAAATTACCTTGTGCGTCGCGCCAGGTTCTCGGACGTGCACGTGGACATCGATGAGGCCGGGGAGACGTCGGAGGGTACGCGAAGATACGCAATCAAACTGCGCGTTCATCGCCGGGCGTGGGCCCAACCTGCGCAGAGCCTAAAATAAAGAATACAAAAAAAAGAATCGCTATCAACCTCGATGAACAGCTTGGCGCATTTGATGTCGGTGATCAGCGGGATGCCGTTGTCGATGGCCATCCGGCGGGTGCGGTAGCCTTGCGTGGGGCCGGCCGATACCCTGTACGCGCCGCTGCGCCGGATCGGCAGGTTGATCATCAGGTGGAAGTCTTTGTTTTGGAAGAATTCGGTGACCGACCTAAAGTATTTTGAAGAAAAGTGAGGTATTTTCGAACCGGGATCCCGCTGCCGTTTTGTCATCGCTGGCTCCTTCTTCGAATGGCCAATCAACCACGTGAACCTAAAAAACAGTTAGGTAAATTTGTCATTTAAAAACTAACCGGAATATCGAGCCCGTGCAAATAATCGGCGGTGCCCTTCGACGCGTACAAGTCGAAGCCGAGAGAGATGAGCGTCTGTATGCTGGGCATCATTTCGCGCTTATGCTGAAAAAAGGATTAAATAAGCCAAAAACATGATCTTACGTCAACTCCGCCCATCGAGATGAAGATGTTCTTCCTGGGTGGGACAAAGCCGGTGGCCAGCAAGCCCTTCAAGTAGGCTTCATGTCGGTCGCGACCGAAGCACGCAACCTAAAAAATAAATTATCGTTTAAGCTTTTCAGGCACAAACCTCGCCAGTCGATGCCATCTCCACGCCAAGCATCACATCGGCGCCGGCCAGCCGTGAGAACGAAAATTGCGGGACCTAAGCCGAAATTGTCAAAATCCCAACCGAATCCACCAACCTTCACTCCAACACGTCCCCTGCCTCTGAGCACGCCGTGGACCTTTTGAATGAGCTTCCCCTCCTTGATCTGCGGGTTGTCGGCGGACATCATCGCCCTTGTCGCGAGGCCGACAAAGTCGAAATCCAGCGTCTTCGAGACGAACGGGAAGGAGCGCGATGCTCGCAGATTGCATTCAATCACCTTCAGCTCGTTGTCCTAAAAAACTGGTTGAGAAACGGTCGTCAAAATTTACCTTGGCAATCAACTGCATGTTGAATGGACCGTTGACGTTCAGGCCGCGCGCGATCTTCTCGGTAATTTCTTTGATCTTCTCGATAGTTGTCTCATTCAGATCGGCCGGCGGGGTGACCAGCGTGGCGTCGCCCGAATGGATTCCCGCGTTTTCGACGTGTTCACTAAAAAAAGTATTCGAATCTAAAAAAAGGAATACCTGACAGCCATTACTCGTAGATCACCTTCGAGCGCCACCGCGTCAATGTCAATCTCCTTGGCGTTGTTAATAAACTTGGAGACGACTACAGGATGCTCCTTGGCGACGATAGTGGCGCTTCGCAGGAAACGCTCAAGGTCCGTCTCGTCGTGCGCCACATTCATTGCAGCCCCCGACAGGACATACGAAGGCCTGATTAGGCAGGGGTATCCGACTGCCGCGCAGAATCGCTTAGCATCGTCAATATCCTGACATTTCTTCCATAGTGGCTGGCAAATCTTCAACGAGTCGAGCAAGCGCGAGAACTTGAACCGATCTTCCGCGTTGTCGATCATGTCCGGCGAGGTGCCAAAGATTCGCACATTAGCTCGGCTCAACGACATGGCGATGTTGTTCGGCGCCTGGCCGCCGAAGGCGAGGATCACACCCTTCGATTTTTCACGCTCGTAGACCTCCAGCACGGTCTCCACGCTGATCTCCTCAAAGTAGAGCCGGTCGCACATGTCGTAGTCGGTCGATACAGTTTCCGGATTGCAGTTGATGGTGATAGTGCTGTACTTCAACGACTTTAGCTCGTTCAGGCAGGCCACGCACGAGGCATCGAATTCGACCGATGAGCCGATGCGGTAGACGCCGGAACCGAGCACGATCGCCGAGTTTTTCATATCGAACGCCAAGTCATCCTCGTGGCCATTGTACGTGAGGTACAAATAATTGGTGAATGCCGGCCATTCTCCAGCCACGGTATCGATCTGCTTCACAGAGGGCGCGACGCCGAGCTTCTGGCGTCGGGCACGAACCGACCAGTCCGTACTGCCGATTCGCTTGGCAATTTGCTTGTCGCTGAAGCCAGCTTGCTTGGCTTCAAGAAGCAAGGCGCGATCCAGGTGGTCGACGGTTGACTTGGTCTGCGAATCAATCCTCATCTCAGTGAGTCGGCGCATCAGGGTCACGATGTGGAACATGCGGTAGAGGAACCAGCGGTCAATCCTGCTCAGCTCGTGCGCCTTCTCGACGTCGAAATCTCCGTAGTACATTCCGCGCGCGAGTGCGAACATTCGTTTGTCGGTGGGGCAGGATATGTCTTCCTCCGTCGGCTTCCGGGGGGAACATGTCGGGGCTGAAGCCGTCGGCCGAGTCCGAAACCATTCTGAGGGCTTTTTGGAAGGCTTCTTCGAATGATCGGCCGATGCCCATCACTTCACCGACACTCTTCATCGACGAGCCGATCTGGCATGAGACGCGGGCAAATTTGCTGAGATCCCATCGCGGAATCTTCACGACACAGTAATCCAGGGACGGCTCGAAACAGGCAGTTGTCTTTCCAGTCACGGAATTCCTGATGACAGGCAAGCGATGTCCGAGGGCCAACTTTGCCGCCACGTAGGCCAATGGATAGCCGGTGGCCTTGGAAGCGAGAGCGGAAGATCTTGACAGACGAGCATTCACTTCGATGATGTAGTACTGCTCCGAGTCGGGGTCCAGCGCGTATTGGATGTTGCACTCGCCGATGATGCCGAGATGGCGGATCACTTTGATGGCACAGGTGCGGAGCATGTTGTACTCCTTGTCGGACAGCGTCTGCGACGGGGCAACGACCACCTGGAAAATGATAAGAATTAAAAAGGTTTTTCGATTGTCTATGCTCTGATATGCAAAAAAAACTGACCGATTCTCCTGTATGAATCCCGAGCGGATCGACGTTTTCCATGTTGCAGACGGTGATGCAGTTGTCGTAGGCGTCGCGAACCACTTCATATTCCACCTGAAAAACGATTATTACGAAGGGCTGCGTGCTGCGAAATTTCCTATGCGTCTAATCCGTTCTTGCGTCGAATTTCCTATAGTAACGTCATCGCAAATATTTTAATAGTTATTTTTTTGGAAAATTTCGCTACTGTAAAGTGAAAAAAACTAGTTAAAACTCTTCAAAAAACTACACACCTCTTTCCAACCCTTCAAGCTCTTGTCGACGAGCACTTGGTTCGAGGCGGCGAGCGCCTTTTTCGCAATCTCCACCAGTTCGGCCTGATTTGACGCAAAGCCCGAGCCGAGTCCTCCAAGGCAGTAGGCGGCGCGGACGAGTACTGGGTAGCCAAGCTCCTCGGCGGCTTGGATCGTTCCTTCGAGCGTCGTCGCAGCCTTGCTCGGCGCGACTTGCTCTCCAATCGACTGCATTTCGGTATTGAACCGTTCGCGGTCCTCCGTATTTTGGATTGTCTGGATTTGTGTTCCAAGCACCTGCACGTTGTACTGGTCGAAGATGCCGTCCTTGTACAAATCAATGGCACAATTTAGTGCCGTCTGCCCGCCAAACGTGCAGAGGATGCCGGTCGGGCGTTCCTTCTTGATCACATCCGTAACGTACTCCTTGGTGACGGGCAGGAAATTCGTCTTATCCGCGAATCCCTTGATTGTCTGCACAGTGGCCACGTTGGGGTTGATGAGCACGGAAGCGATTCCCTCTTCGCGAAGCGCTTTGAGGGCCTGTGCGCCAGAGTAGTCAAACTCGCCAGCCTGACCGATCGTCAGGCCTCCGGAGCCGAGCACGAGCACCTTCTTCTGCTCGGTAATTTTGTAGGTGGATGGGAAGGTGAGGCGTTCGGTGATGAGCTTGTCGGCGCTCAGCAATTGCCCCTTCTTTGCCGCGGCGACGACTTCGGCAAAAATGTCGAACAGGAACTCGCAATCGGTGGGCCCGGCTGAATGTTCTGGGTGGAATTGGACGCTGAACAAGGGCTTGTCGACGTGCACGATTCCTTCATTTGTTCCGTCATTCTCATTGGTGAAGAGTGGACGCCAGGTTGTCGGCAGGGTCTTTTCGTCAACCTAAAATACAAATAAATAGTGAAAGGAGAGGCTTTAACTTACCGCAAATCCGTGATTCTGTGATGTAATGTAGCAACGGCCCGTCGCGTAGTGTGTACACGGCTGGTTGTGACCACGATTGCCATATCTAAAAAATACGATTTTTTCGAAAGGAGGGAGACCCACTTTAGCTTGTAGGTTTTGGCACCGACAGCCCTGGCGAGGAGCTGGTGGCCGAGGCAGATTCCAAAGATCGGCTTGTCGCCTCGGGCCACGATCTTTGATAGGCGTTCAACGAGCAGGGCGCATTTCTCGGGATCGCCGGGTCCGTTCGACAGGAAGAGACCGTCGAACTCTAAAATTCAAAAATTTATTTGATAAAAGATCCCAACCTTCTTTTTCAATGGGCCAATCCCAGGGGACGACCTTTACCCTGCCGACACGTCGTACCAAGCAGCGAATCTAGAAGCACGTCTCTGGAGATTCGAAGGAAACTAACCTGATTATATTTCAAGCCACAATCGACGGCCAGCACAGTCGTGGGGCCATCTCCGTAGATTTCCGGTTCTTTTCGGGATACTGAGGCCACGACGTTTGTTTCGTTGAAGTCGACGAAGGGGAATTTGTCCGGCTCATCGCCGTCGATGATTAGCTGAAAATTAGACGGTTATAGACGAATGAAAAAATGATACTGTAGACCTTTTTCACCAGATACCGCTAGTTTTTGCAGATTTCAGGTACCAATCTGGCCCCACTATCAACCGAGCAAAATCCGGGACCACACTTTCCCCTCCTACGCTAGCGGACGCCGTGTTGACCCCTGGACAGCCAGTCTTTTTCGCCGAAACGGGTTTCCCCCGTTCTCACGCTGCCCCCAGTGTCTCTCGAGTCCCGTTATCTGGACACGACAACTGACCATTCAGTCAGTGTTCACCCTTGATAGTAGCTGTCTGGGTGGCACGGGTCAGGGGCGAAACGTTTCGAAAAAACTTTGGCCCAGAGATCTTGGGTCCAAAATAATGGGCTAGCCTTACAAGTGTAAGGGCGGACTAATTACCCGTAAAAACAACGTAAAAACATTTTGTAAACAACCCTACCTTCGCCTTCATTGTCCCCTGCTCTCGAATTTTCTTCGTCAACTGGCGCACGTCAATCCCGGATAGGCCAGGGACTCCATGGCGCTTCAACCAATCCGACAGCGAGCTCTTCGAGCGCCAGTGGCTTTCTTCGCCCTCCGGGCAGATCCTAAAGATATTTTTTGAGCTTGAAAAACTCTATTTACCTGTCTACAATCAATGCGGCCGGCCAAATTTTGGCAGATTCGAAGCCCTCGGGTAGACCGAATTCGTCGCGCTACAACACAAGGGTTGGTGTAAGCTACAAAAACGAACATACCTTCGTCTCATCTGGGACGCCGTAATTGCCGATCAGCGGGTAGGTGAGGGTGAGGAGTTGATGTGCGTATGAGGGGTCGGTCAAGCTCTCGACGTAGCCGACCATTCCGGTTTGAAAAACTGAAAAACTGGGTGTACTGTAGAAAAAAAGGACTTTTAAAAGCCATGCTTTAGTTTAAGCAAAATAAGGTTCAAAATAAGCACGTACCAATCTCTCCATATATTGATTTTGTGGCGCCGAAGAGCTGCCCCTCAAATCGCGAGCCATCTTCGAGATGTAGCGTCGCGCTCATCGTCTCGAAGCAGCTGGTCATGGGCCCGTTCGATGTCTAAAATCAAACAGATGAAGTTGGGTTTCCGAAATAAGAAGTGAGAAACGGAATTCAACACAAAAAGATCGACATTTGACGCGTAGGAGCCAGAAAAACGTTTCACAGTTTTTTAAAACGCCAAAAATATTAGAAAAGCTCCTAATAAAGCTCCTAAACCCTATTATTTGTATCAATTGCCTGAAAAACTTTCTGCTAAAGATAGAACGCCACAATATAGTATTTTCAAGCTAGGCCCCGACCATTAAAAGACTATAGCAGGGGAAACACTGGGATTGTTGAATTCAAAAATAGCTCGGCGGTGTTGATGGGAAATGGGGGGCTAGGATGAGGGAGTGAAAGCGAAGGGGAGAGCCGAGGCTTGCACTTAAAACGGCGGACACGTGCAAAAAGGCAGGGGGACCTCTCCTGACCACTGGGGTCTGTTTTTGCTTGAAATCTTGGGTCAGGGTTCAGCAGCTCCTCCTTGTTTTATCAGTAGCTGCGCAAATTACACTGGGGGTCATCGCCGCGGTGCTTCGGATGGACTCGCGGCTTCGGGGCAAGTTTCAAGGTTTTTGTGAAAACGAAAAGGTGTTTACGAAACTTTGAAATTCTATAAAGCTCAATATTCGAAACTTTTTTAAACAGAAACTTTTAAACGTTATAGAAGTGATTTTTCGAATTTTATAGAACAGGATTTTCGAGATTCTATAAAACAGAATCTTCGAAATTCTATAAAACAGAATCCTCGAAATTAAAGCAAAACAGTTACAATTCTATCAAACTAAATACTCGAAATTCTAGAAAATAAAGTCTTCTAAATTCAATGAAACAATTTTTTAAACATTAACCAGGGTTGAAAAGCCGCTTCGCGACTTTTCAACCCTGGCCCCCCGTCCTACCCCCCATACTTCGTCACATTGCATAAACACCTGAATTCCTGTGCAGAAAAATGAAACGCGCGTCCTCTCCCCCATTATATAGGGTTCCCCCACTTCCGGTGCATGCTAATTGATTCCTAACAAAGAGTCCGAGCGAGATTTTCACAAAAACTTAATTTTAATATCGAAAACTACTGATTTTCAAAAATCTCATATGCGTGCAGTCGTGTCATGAACATTACGCACCTAATGACGTATCATACGTACCCTGAACTTCCTCCCCTATTGAGATACGACTGGAACATACGGACGGAAGTTGCATGCAAAGTGGCACACACACACACACAGACACTATTTTTTTTATATATAGTAGGATAGGATAATCCTCTGAACTATAAAAGTACTTCGAAATTTGATAAAACAGTACCCTCGAAACCCGATAAAACAGCAACTTCTAAATTCTATAAAACAAAACCCAATTCCCCAGAAAATGTTGAAATCACTGGTCATAGCCGTGTCCACCTCCTTTTAACAGGCAGATGGCAACTAGGGGGCCGAGATCTCAAACAAAGATACGAGATCTGCAGGGCCGTTTCCAGGACAATCGAAGTGTTCGATGAACCAGGGATCACTGCGAAGGTATGGGGGTCCAACTAGCCGGATTATTGGCCGAGGATCATTTGATATCGCCCAGCGCCCAACAGAAATTACAACCTAATGATACGGTGATACAGATGTCCTTATCGGGAATCGATGCCCTGACTGGAAAAGTAGGAAAAGATGATGCTGGGGGCGTTCCCATGCCCTGAGGTATCTTGGCTATTTATAGTATCGGACCTGGGACAGAGATCATCTTTGCTGGTACTCACACGTTCCAAAACATGTCTGCACAAGTGTGAGGTTCTTTCGCGTTATCGGGGGGAGACTTTGTCTTAGTGTCCAATTTATCAAATATCAATAGCGGAAGTGTTTCTAAGCAGTTTTTGATATTCCTAGGCGTAGAAACATTCCAAATTTTTAGTAAAAGCCACAAAACAATCGATTTGTCGACCAAAAACAGCCGTTTTTTACAAAAATTCCGACTTTTTGACAGTTTTGACAGACAGAGATATTTAGTTTTTCTAGTGCAAATCGAATTTTTGTTTTACTGAAAAAAAAACTATTGAAATACTTCAGGTTAAGTTAACTAGGCATTCCTTGGCCTATACAAAAAAGTCAAATTTTCTAGTTTAAAAATGGCCGATCGCGTCGAGAACTGGACAAATCGGGCGCGAGAATTGTGGATGGAGGCTGAAGAGCATAAGAAACACTTGTTGATACTTCAAGTCACCACGTTGGCCTACATGCTCATCTTTTTCGGTGTGCAGACGCACGAAACGGTAATTGAGTGTGGCCCTGTCGCTGCCAATTTTAAACTCAAATGCCTCATTTTTCTATGATAAGGCGACCTCAATAACTTTTTTTCAGTGTTCGATGAGCTGCGCAACGAGGACTCTGATTCTCATCTTGCATTTGGTGATTTGGGGCGGCGCGATTCTTGGTTTGTTATATTCAAGCTGTCCGTGCTTTCTCATTTCCTCATTTTTTTTGCCCAAAAACTCGATTTTATCGGTGTGTAATGGCATTTTCCGCCACATATACCCCCACCAAAATATAATAAAAAAAATTTTTTTTTTTTTTTTTTTTAAATATTGGTCCACCAATCGTCATTTTGCGACAGTTTTTACACCTTAAAGAAACCGGGTTTTTAGCTTATTACTTTAATCAATGCATGACGACTTTGTTTCAGGGTTGACGTGCCTCTTTGCTCTCCGCGCCGAGGAGCGAGCCAAAGTCCAGGCGGCGTCTTGCGCTGTTATATCAAGTAATAATTGAGCGTTTATCAATGAGAATCAAGTTTGACTCAAGACAGGACTTAGTAGCTTTTGATTAAGACAAAAATAACAAATTTCAGCTTTAAATGCCGTTTTCTAAATTTTAGGATCCTTCAACCAGTGGCGTAAGTACGGTCTGAAGGTTGGAATGGTGATCGCCACGCTCATCTCCATCGATTGCTTGATGAAATATAGAGATGGCTACTACCAAACATAACAATAAAAACGAAACGCAGAATAAAGCGATAAATCTCGATGAAAAGACTTTGTTCTTTTCGAATAATAACCAACATGTACAGTAACGGATAAAAGTTTATCACTCTCGTTTTTTCGACTTTGTAGAGTGTTGCCCAGATTTTCAGCCATACTCTTCCAATTTACAATTAACTGGATGTAA